ATTACAAGTTGGTTTTGGAACTGGTCATCGCTTGCCTCGAGTGTGGAAGTGGAGGTCATGCCGATGACATCACCCAGGAGAGAGCCTTCATCATCAACTCTCTCATTACCAAAACTAAGGTAAACTGGGCTGCACACTTTTTCAAATCCATTTCAAAACATCTAGGAAAGCACAATCAGAAGTATCTCTGTCAAGGTCTGTATATTGGACATATTTTGGAATCTATGGGCGCTGCAGTTAAAGGGAAAAAGTATGAAGCCAGATACTGGCTATACTACTTATCCTTCAAAGGAGAAAACAGAGCTATTGCTAGTGCCACTGCAGAAGAAAGCTCATCAGACAATGTTCCACTCATCAATTTCCCAAAGACTGCCAAGAGAAAGCATGTGGTGTCTCCCACTCCCAGTGCTGAAGCACCACAAAATCTCGCTCCAATAAATCTTGAAGAAGAAGAAGAATCCTCTGACCAAGGAGAACTACAAAGGAAAAAGAAGAGGAAGATCACCTCTCCCTCAACATCTGGAAATGTCAATCCGAATTAGTTGAAGGTGAAGGAACCTGCTGAGGAAACCTCTGCTCAAAACCGGAGCCCTCAACAACTTGAAGAAGAAATTCCTCAAGTCCAAAGCCTTCCAACCTCATCACCTCAACCTCAAATAGATGATGCAGATGACCAATTCTGGCAGCTCTACTATGATTGGAAAGCCTGGAAAGTTGGAAATTCAGCAGAGCAACTGTTGAATTGGGACCAACAACTGAAGAATGAGAAGATCATCAAGAAGTGCTTGGGAATACCAGTAAACTACAACTGTGAACAAATTTTGGATGACTACTGGGTATGGCAAAGGAATCCTGAAGACTTGCATCTGGAATACCTGGCCAACACACCAGTTTCAGACTTTGAAGCAGATGATGAAGATCCTGCAGTCTTCAAGCTAGTCTTCTGAAAAGACACAGAAGATCAAGTGGTTTTCACTTCTGAAGCACAAGGTATTTTGGAAGCAGCAGCTGAAGATTTCCAAATACTTCCAGAAACCTCACATGTTTTTGAAAAGGTTCTAACTGAAGTTGTAGAAGAGAAGGCAACCTCTCCCCCACAAGAACAGAACCAGGAAACAGCAGAAGAAGAAGAATTTCAGCAACTAATCCAATCTCAAGTTTTGGAGATTCTCACCACTCCTTGTGAGATCTCCAATCCTACTGAAATTGAGATCCCGGAGAAGTCAGCAGAAATTCTGGAACAGTCAGCTCTTCCAGAAACAATGGAGCAAGCTGTTGAAGCACAAACGAATTCTGGAGAAGCTGAAAAGGAAACTCAAATGGCAGAACTAGAGGTCTCTCAAACTCCAGTAGCCATTTTTGAAGAACAGAATACAGCTGAAGAAAGAGACTCCCTCTCTAGGGATATATCTTGCGCTTGATGAAGTAGAAGGAGAGTCTGAAAGAACACCGAAGGTTACTGATGAAGAAGATGTACAAGAAGATGCTGAATCTCTTCCTATGCAACTCTTCCAAAGAACACCATCATCTCATCAGGTAATCAATTTTCATTTCCATAGCTCTTCCACCCCTACTCTTCCGGATGAGATACCGGAAATCTGGAGAAAGAAGGTCCAAGGGCTGATTGAATCAGCCCTAGCATCTCAACATGCCTCCTTTAGGCAAGAGATAGAGCAAATGGAAGTCAGGCACACCCAGCTGATAGAGAAATCTGAAGGAAAACACAGCGCAGATCACAAAGAAATAGGCAAATCAGTGCACAAGACTCTCGAGATTATCTCTCTATTGAGTAAAACTGTGAGCAACACGATGGAAATATATGCCTCTGACAGTCAACTTCAACTCAAAGAGATCAACAAAGTCAAAGAGCAAATAGCGAGTGTTACAGTTAGTCTCCAAAAACAGATGTCCCTTCTCCAAATGGACATCAGATCAGCCTTAGCAGTAGCTTCTGCAAATCAGGTAGTGACCAAAGACTACTTGAAGGTGATCATTGACAATCAAAAGGAAGCATACAAGCTGTTCAGACTTATTGGCGCAAATTCTGGAAACCGCAAGATGGAAGTAATTCTCCAACAACACAGTCCATCTCCAATACCACAGCTCCCTATTGCAGTCAAAGAAGGAGAAGTATCTTATATTCCTTCTCATCTGAACTTGACAAATCTAATCCTTGAAGCACANAACCTGTCCAGAATTCCTAAACAAGCACTAGAAGACAAACAGAGTAAAGTTCTACAGTCCAGAATACTTGAACAACAGCTAGAAGACGGACTCTATGGAAAAAGGAATCTCTCCTTTAACAAATGGGTATGTCCAAACACCCATTCCAATGAGGAATCTTCAAATCACAATCTTCATTCAAAATTGAAGCCAGCAAATGCAACGGATAGTCTATTATGATTCAACGAATAGATTATCCAATCCAGCTATAAATAGCATCCTTGGAAGACTGGAGAAAAAAATAATGAGATACAATAACACAACGAAGCAATCTCTAACAACAAAGCTATCTCATTCACAGTTAGCCCAAAAAGCTTGATAAAGAGAGATTTCTAAACTCCTTATCCAGAAGCAAACTTCTCCTCCTTCCAAAGAGCTATAGTGTAAACACTTAAGGGTTTCCTTGCCTCAAGCACCACACCACGTTGAAGGATATTACTTTTGATCAAACTTATTGATTAAAAGGGGTAGGTCAACTCTTTTACAAGTTGATCTTGCAAGTCCTATTGTTCGGACCTTGCAGTTGTTGAAGAAGCTTGACCTTCGAAGGAACAACAAAGCCAGCACGAGTGCAGTAGCAACATTGGTCTTGTGAAGATATACCGTGCAGAAATTCACACAAGTGTAATTGTTGGTTCATTATTCAACAACAACCAACGACATAGTGGATTTTGAGGACGTAGAAGGATTATCCCACCTTCAAACCTCGTTAAAGTTTGCGTGTCTCTCTCTTTTATCTTTATTCTTACGTGCAATTATATTAACTGTGAAAACTAACCCATCCATATTGATTACTGCTCACTCTACCCACCAAATTCCGCACACAATCTAAAGTTCACAAGCACTCTAGATTAACACTCATTTTCACGTTTTCAAAAGAAACGAAAAAGATTTTAAATCTGTAACAAAGTCTATTCACCCCCCCCCCCTCTAGACTTTGTATTTCACCACTTTGGGACCACCAATATGCAGTTTATTTTAATTTCTGTAGCTGCCTGGAGGTGTGTTATTATACTATTAATACAATTGCAGATGTTCATGAGCGAGGGGGAGATGGAAGAGAATGTTGATGCTTTTAAGGTCGTTTGTGATGCATTGGAATATGGATGGAGCTTGACTAATCCATGCGATGTTGATATGGTGAGATTATTCATGTCTGTGCTTGGTCTAATGCTTGCGATGGTGGTATGTTTATTTACAGTATATGCATATACTGTTCAAATGCATAATATGTTCTTAAACGTGCAGATATTCTTCCCAGTAATGCAAAACCATTGGTGTTATTGCATATGTGTGAACCTGAAAGGGAATAGGGTTGATATTCTCGACAGCTCATCAGCGGGCGTTGCAAAGATTAATAAATATGACAAGATGCCAAGCGTTGTTGTAAGTAGAAATTGATAGCACGCCACCTAAATTATTAAGTGGGATACAGATCTGTTATAATGTAATGAAGCCAATTCTAAAATCTGATGAGAAAAACGCAATTCATATTGTAATGTTTTAGCATACCTTTGATTGCAGCGAGACATGGTCGTAAAATATTTCAAGAGTAAAGGACTGGATGGCCGGGTCGAGAAACTGAAGATGCAAGAACCGAAACGATTGCAACTGGCGTGGAGAGATTCGTCTGCTGTATTCGATTATGGTGTGATTACAATGCGGGACATGGAGACGTACACAGGGCAGGCATTGAAGCAGTGGGAATGTGGCTTGAAAAAAGGGGATGAGAGGGCGGTGAATGCACTTCATACAAAGTATTGTGCTGCGATAGTCGAATCAGATATCAACGAGGTTAAGGACAAGATAAGGCAGCTGGTGAAGCACTCGAGTGGTTGAAGACTACATGACTTGATTACAAATTCATGTTTCTGATGCCTGACTTTTTCATGGGGATTATGATCTATTATGTTTTTTTAGAATTGTCAATTTTGTATCCTTTTGAGTTTTGGTTTCATGGAGAAACCCTTGAGTGAGTCGTTGCTGGCTTGTTCATTTTGCTAGATGGGGTTGCATTATTGCTCAGTATGAACATAGATAGACATATTTTTTTGGTATTTATGAAGAATTTGAGTATTGACTTAACTAGACGTCAATTTGTTGTGTGAATCCGTTTCTTTGCATTGTAATTTTACATAATGTTGGAGGGGATTTTGATTTTAACAGGTGAATAATTTTTGATTGGAAAGCGTTTAGTGCAGAATTTGTTGCAGCATTTTGTTTTATTGGTGCGTGCTGAATTTGTTTTAGTGCAACCCAGTAGCTGTTTAGTGACAGGTACAGTTTTTGACAGTAGTGATTTCTGTCAAACGTATAACAAGTTGGGTGAATAAGTAAGAGGCGTTCCAAGTAGTCGATCTGTTGGGACTTGTTTGGTGCAGGAATTGTTACGGGTGTTTTGTTATTGGTGCGTGAAGGAAATGGATTTAGTGCAATGTATAATTTGTTTAATGGGGGTCCACACACGTTTAGAGCCATCAATGTATGTTTGATAGAATGAGAAGTGTGTGGGGCAGTATTGGATCAAAACTGTAGATTTAGATGTAGTGGAAATACATAAAGTGCATGCATTGATGATTTTGTAATTACTATATTAATCAAAATTGCAATAATACACAAGTCATGGGCAAACAAATGGCATGTGACGTTATAAAGAATGTTGAAAACATTACAAATACTTATAAGATGTGTGTAGAAAGATGATTTAATTATGAAGAATAATTCATCGGACAATTTCTACTGTCGTGATATCCTAGCTCTTTGCAAGTTCGACACATGTGTTTGTTCTTCTTGCTTTTCTCGATTTGGATCTCTTTAGCACTCTTGATGCGCTTACCACTGCCCTTGTTGTGCGCGGGTTGAGGTGGAAGCACTTTTATCTCTGACGGAGCAGGCACCCCACAGTAATTTTCAAAGATATTAGGTACTCCAGTATCAACGTCATGAGAGGCAATAGACGATTCAATGAGTTCCTTTTGTTCAGAGATTACCTTGGAGAAAGCAGATAATAAGTCGGAATTGTTTTCAATTAGAGCAACACAGGAGTGAATGTTAGACCATAAGCGGTTCAGCATTAATTTGTTTTCATCAATGGATGATTCCGATGCAAAGTCCATACCAGAAACTTCAATCATTGGCTTTAGGAGTGGTGATTTGCACCACCTATTTGTGATATAACGTTCTGGAATCATTTTAATTTTCAAGACCTTGAATAGCAAAAATATGTGTCTACACACTAGACCAATGTGCTGCCAGTATTTGCATGTGCAAGAGAAAGAGTCGTCTAAGGTGGAGTGTTCAACGTTGAAATCCATACCTCGGGAATCCTGCACAACATACGATAACGTATGCTCCTTCTTGTCAACTTGCAGCACACTGCACGAGAAGCATGATGCACTTATCTCTGATTGTACTTCGTGGAAGATGGTCAAAGTGTAGACATATGATGCATGTTTCTCGATGGCAAGCGGAGTTTTGTAAAAATGGATACACGCTTCTGAGTCTGAATCCAAGTCTGCAGTTTTATGCCGTTGAGAGTCCATAGCACTTTCAAATTGCATATAAAACTCGACAAGAGTGAAGTAGTTATTTTTGAAGTCACTAAAAAAACTATTCTCGCTCTCAGAACGTGATGTTGTGCGTAGTAAACCAATCATGAACAAATCTCTAAAGTATGCAGGAATCCAGCTTGTTTGAATAGCAAATAGATTACAAAACCATGAATCAGATTCGAGCTCATAATCAACTAATACCTCATGCCATTTTTTTCCCACTCTTTGGGCTCAAGGTAATGATTCCATATCACAGAATTAAGCCTTGTAAAGAAGACCTGATCTTTGGCTAGTTCATTGTCAACTTTGGCCGTAATCTTGTTCGTAATATGCCACATAGAGAGACGATGGACTGTCTTTGGGAATACTTCTGGAATAGCAATAGCCATAGAAGCATCTTGGTCAGTGATTATGCATTGCGGGGCATGGCCCATTGCATCAAGGAAGCAATTGAACAACCACGTGTATGAAGGAACATCTTCTCTGTGCAGTAGACCAGCTGCAAAAGTAACACACCTGCGGTGGTTGTCTACACCGGTGAATGGCGTAAAAACCATTACCTGCACCACGGGTAACACACCATCACCAATGTAGTTCAAACACTAAAACCGCGTATTTAGTGTGTTACGTAAATGTGATAATGCAGTACAGATTACAAAAAATGCGAAATAGTAAGAATATGTAAGAACAGAAGGTGTGCAACGCATATTGACAGGGCTAGTTTAAGAGTATTATACTTATTCTTAAAGGGATAACAGAAGGCATTAAAGAATATACCTATTTGTGTTGAAGGTCGCGTCAAACGAAATGACGTCTCCAAAGATTGCGTACTTCTTCCTAGTGATAGGATCGCACCAAAATACCCTGGTTAGCTAGTCACTCTCATCGATATCATAATCAAAGTGGAATGCAGAGCATGTTTGTTTCTTTCGGAATAGTTTGTCAATGAGCATTTGAGCATCAGCGCCTGCAATGTATGCCTTCAAGTCCCGTTTGAAATTTTTAAAGTCAACGGCAGTGGCACCGACATTATCGTAGCCCCCAACTGATTCCTTAAACAATCTATATGACTTCATTGGCCCAATGTTCTCCTTTGCACAATTCAACATAAACTTCTTGTGACCAATTTCTAAGTTTCTGTTGATTTTCAGAAAGGGTCTAGATGGATAGGACAACATTGAATGGTTATGCGTTTCTATGAATGACGATATGGTGTACCCTACACCACCCACGAGCCTAAACGCCACATGCGCCTTGCAATCAACAAGATTTGAAATGCGTCTCCTCTGTTTTGCCTTTGGCACTCCATCATCGTGAGTGGGTTTGTTAACAATTGGTTCAAAATGTTTATGACCCTCACGGTTGCATACAACGTACCGCCAAACAACAATACCTGAAACCTTCAAATTAGTGCTTTTGCGAATATCAAAACCTGTCAGTGAGGCATATTGCTTGTAAAAATTAAATCTGTCCTCCAAGGATTTGAACACCATTCCCACTTTAGGCTTGGAGTCTTCAGGGCAAGGAGGAATAAATAAGTTGGATGAAGAAGAAATAATTTCTGTTGTATGGGGCGTGTCTTCGTTTGGAGAAGTAGATGTGTGCACTGCCGATAGAGAGATAAACGTGTTGATTAATGCACTACTTATATCTGATTATGCAATACAGGATGCAAAACAATGCGAAATAAAGTATCATATATGAATATATAAGCACAGAGGGTCTGCAACATCATGGAGCATGAATTCATTAAGTGTTTGAAATTGACCAAAAACATAATGAAAAGAAACCACAAACATACGAAGACCACGATTATGCAATACATGACACGGAACAGTACTCCAAAAAAACAAATACTTACAAATAATTTGAGAAGGATAAGAGAAGCATTCATGAAACCAAATCAGTGGATCATATTTAATGCAGTAAGCAGACATGAAGGTGTAATACTCATTGCATAAAATGCGTAATAGAAATAAAAATAAACAGCTCAAGCTGTACAAAATTGTGAAGTAGACTTTCATGAAGCTGTGAGAATTGTCAGGGAATGAATGAAAAGGAAAACACCAAAAAGCCAATTTCTGAACAACACAAATGTTTACATGTAATTTCACCGCGAAAGCAGAAGCATTCGTGAAGTCAACACAAATGTTTATATGAATCCTACTGTTATACCCCTGGCTCCACCAAGATCCCAACCCCTCCCAACATATCCAAAAGACTTTTATCTTTTCTTTTATTCCAAAATAAAGCCTTTGCCATCTATTTTAATCCCTGGTCAATAATAAGAAACCAAAACCTTTTGTTTGTTGTTATTTCCTTTCTTTTAATAAACAAATAAAAACCTTCTCTCCCTCCCTTTGAATTCCTGGCCAAATATCCCTCTCAATCCCAACAAAACACCCACAAAGAGCCAAAACCATGACCCACCTCCAGCCCCTACTTCCTGCCCATATTCCCTCACAAATAACCCAAACCTATAATGCCAAAACCATCCCTAATATTACCCAGCCCTGGCCCCCTTTGTTTTCCAAACACAACACCCCATTTTGCCCAAATAATAGTCACAACACCCCCATGAAACAACCTCTACAAACCAAACCATAAAACCCCACAACACCAGCCCCACAAAGTACAACCTATCCCTGATTTTCTCCCCACCAAAGGGACAACAACAAGTGGAGGTCATGCTATTGATTTAGGAGAATAAGATAGGAAGTTTCCTTATGTCTACATTCAATGTATTGTGTATTTCTTCCCCCTTCCCCTGCCTATATATAATCAGGCCATATGGCCATTGTAAGGACATCTCTTGAATATTAAAAACTCCCTTTTTACTCTTTGAGTATTTATAAAATAGTGTGATGCTATTTTAGCCAAATTCCTAATTCTATATCTTAAGAGTGGTTATCTTAAGTGTGACTTTTAGGTTCTAGATATTTGATTAAGTGTGTCATATCTTAATTAAATTCTAGATTCAAACCCCAAGTTAGGATAAGAGTGTGTAATATCTCTTAAATACCAACTTGGTTTATCCATCCCTGATTTTTCTCCCATTTCATACCTCCCCATTTCTCCTCTTAATCTCACTCTTTTCTTCCAATTAAAATACCCAAAAGAACTCTCTCATCATCTCCACAAATCCCAGCCATTCCCACACAAGCACCATTATTACCCGCCCAGGTTTCCTGATCCTGATTGTCTTGATAATCGATTATCAATTAAGATAATCGACTATCTCACCCTTCAGGACTTTCTTGGCGTCTGCTGCAAAGTCCAATAATCGATTATCAACATTTGATAGTCGACTGTCGTCCCCTGCTGAATTCCGTTGGAATAAACTG